TCATAACAAGTTTCACATTATATTCTTATGACTTTGTGCCTAGTGCAATTTTGTTACTAATAATTAACATATCTTGACTCTAATATGATTCAAAGAAAACATAAATTCATCTTCATTCTTCATCTAGATAATTATTTTATTTCAAATGTATTAGCAAAAATATTTTTAAATTCTTACAGTAAAATAATACTTGATTAGTTAATAAAATTAGAAAAAAAAGTGTAAAAATAGAAAATAAAAAATAAAAAATTGCTCAAATTTATGAAACATATTTAACATTAAATCATGATGCCCTAGTAAAAACTATCTTGCACTAATGCACTGCTCCCTAACCACCTATTGTTTTTGTCATCAACAACCTGGATCCTCCTACTTCGAGCATGTTGAGCAGTATTTTTCCTCCTCTATGGAGGTTTGTGCTAAGTTTTGGATGCCTACACCTATCGATGACATTATAATCATCTCTAGATGATGAGGACATCAGCAAAAGATTTCGACGAATCTATCATCGGAGGAATCGTAGATCGACAGCTATAATTTAGAGACTCTACTTATGATGCATCTATGTATTTCTTTTATGTTTATTTAAATTTTACTATTGTACCCCTGTGAGGGATCTCTTTTATGTTGTAGCCTCGATGACATGTAAGTATTTTTATTTACTTGATTTTGGAGGCCTATATATTAAGACCTTAGTCTTGTATTATGGTTAATGATTATTTGAATGAAATTTTCAGCATTTGTCTTCTTCTTTATTGTGAACTCTTGAGAGAAGAGAGAACCCTATGAGAGAGCCAAGCATCACCCGACAGCTGCCGGTAGAGGCCAATCTCGCGGTTTGTATTAGTTTGGCTTCATTTTCCACATCCCCTTCTCCACCCGTCGGCCACCTTCTTCCTGCTTCCCAACCCGTCGACTCCACCATAAACCGCCACTTCCCCTACCCACACCACGCTAGCCTAACGGCCCATTATTAATTTGGAAAGCCTTTTATTTGAAATTCAACTAAATTTGAATTTCAAAATCTTTTCAAATTAGTTAACCTAGTTTAGGAAACCCCTCCCATCACTCTAAATCTGAAATTAAATCATTTAATTCCCTAATCACATTTAATGTTTGGGTCCACATACATTGTATGTGGACACTTTCCTTCCCTCCTTATATGGCCGACCCCTCTCCCCTCTATTCTAATTATTTCCTTCCCTAATTAAGGGCTCCAAGTAATGAGATAATTAGCCCCTTTTCTTCCCTCTATCTTTCCTCTTGCCACCGCCTCTCTCTTCCCCTCCAATTACAATTGTTTCCCAATTCAAACCCAATCTTCCCCATGATTCCTCCACCAATTAGAGAATTTAAATTCAAATTCTCCCTCCTTCCCTCCCAAATTAATTCCAATATAATTACTATTCAAGGGTAATTACTCAAGGAATTAATTCCTTCTTATCCTCTTATAGCTTCTCTCAATACCTAATCCCCTAACCCCAAGGCTTCCCCAAGACTGACCGACCAATGTTCTCCTCCATCAAGCCGCCGGCCACTTTGTCCATCCCGGAATTGAATCGACTTCTCTTCCCTCATGGATGGCTGATCCCGAGCGAGACCACGGATTTTTCTACGACCATCAAGGCTTAGCAGATATTCTACAATCTCCTTTCTTCGATCTCAATCTAAAAGTTGACGACACCGTCGACGTATACATCGACCGAATCCTATTCACCTTGGCACCTTCTATCGAAGAACATCTACCCTCCGGACCTTAGCGAATCATTGGACATCCACCCGCGTCTTCCCCTCCAGCTATCTTTCTATGGATCAAAACTATAGGCGTCCTCTTTCTTTCTGTGACATCCCTAGGATTTCTGAAGTTGTTCTCCCACTAACCCGACTTCAAGAGCGAAAGAGAGGGAAACTCGGCGGTGAATTTTTTATTTGTTAAAACGTTAAACGATGGATTTTGTTATTCTGTATCTAGTGTTATTATAGCTTTTTGTTCTTATTTTAAATTGTTCTAGTAATCTTTTTTTGTAACGAACTACCAAATCCTATTTGCAACTAAAAATTCCTAGAATCCTATCTTGGTGAAACATTGAGTTTACAATTATCAAAGCTTTACAACTTGTTATTAATTCCCATGCAATTCCTGTTTCTATATATGTTTCACATCACTAGAGCTTGTGATGGTTTCTCTCCAGCTTTGTTCTAGCTTGGCCCTTACTTTGGCATTACATATGTTCCCCAAACTTTTCTCTTTGATTATTTTGAATGTCACACCTTTGGTTTCCCTTTGTCATATCCATGTCTCATATCATCTCCCACAAACTACCCAAGCTTCACCTCTAATCTCACCGCCACCACCTTTGTTAGTTTTTCCTAGCTTGGCATCAGATGTTACTACATTGATTTATTCAAAATATAATAATGGTCGTAAGTAAGAGATCTTGTTTTCTCCCTACTAAACCAAATCTATGATATTTCTCACGCGAGAAATAATTATTTCATTGCTCCTCCCTTTAGCATCCATATAGGGACCTAACTCTAAGACATTCATGCTCCTTACTTTGGTAGCCCTTAGTCTTGTCTTGGTCTTAAATCTTACTTTGACAGCTACCCAAGCTATGCCTCTGATCCACCTCCTATGTTAACTTCATATAACTCGATTTCATATGCTACTTTGTTAATTTATTCATAGTCTGCTTTTGCTTCCTAGTTCCTATCTCAAGGGCTAACCCTGTGACTCCTCTTACTTAAGCAAATAATTCTATTGACACTTTTTTTCTACCTCCTCATCCATCTATAGTATGACACCATTCTCTCCTTCAAATGTTGCATTGATATTCCTTCCCCCTCAAAAATCCTATCTATGCTTAGTAATGCAATTTTCTTTAAATCTCATATTCATGTTGGTAACAAGTATCCTCCCGAGATTTTTTCAAGAATAATATTCAACTAATGGTAATAACCTCTAATGTGTGTCAAATTGTATTAATTCTTTGACAACGATTCTCTTAAATAGTAAAATTATTAATTTGAAAATATCCTTAATATTTTTTCTAATTATTAAATTATTTGGTGGTCAGCTCATATTGCTAATACTCAAGGACTATCTTAAAGGCCACTGTTAAGTGGGCAAAATCTCTATTTCTCTTCTTAACTCCAAAAATATCTTGTTATTTTTTAAGCAAGTGAAAAAAAAAATTCTGCTATGTTTGTGTCTGTGTTGTTAAATTTTAGGGATTTTTTACGAGGATAAACAAATGAACTTTTTTCAAATTGTCCTAACTACTCTTGTTTATATAATTTTTCTTCATCACTACGTTCATCGGCTTGATAAAAATATTCTATTCATGTTACCCTCATTATTTGGTAATACTTATATAGGGGCTATTTGGTATCGGATTTATTGTGGGATTTAAGTCAGATTTACGCTAAATCCAGCGAAACGGTTTTTGTCCACGCGTTAAATCCCAGGATTGGATAAATCCCGAATTTACGGCTTAAATCCCGGATTTACTAAATCCCTCGGTTCGGCGGATTTATGGGATTTGGCCGAAGAAGCCCGCGAAAGGTAGAAAGTTACCTTCACAGCCAGCAAGCTCTCGTTGTTGCTTCCAATCAAAATGTCGTAACTTCCGATCCGACAGGAAGAGAAAGTCGTCGAAGGAGCGAAGTCAAACAGCCGCGAAGAAACCGAAGAAGCGACGCATGCAATCTCACAACTCCTGCGAAGCAACGAAGCCGAACAACAATGACAAAAAGAGAAGATGAAAGGCAAACCCTAGATGTGTCTATGTTATTATTGATTAACTTAATTAATATATAATTTAAAATACATTTTCATCCTCTACACACTTCTCTTTTCTTCCAACATTTACAAAACGCTTCAAGCAATCATTCATCCCTTTATATAAATGCAAAGAAACAGTTCATCGTCTCTCTTTCCCAAAGCATAACATGAAACATTTCAAATTACCTTACACAAGCTTTTCTCACAAAAAAATGCTACAAATGCATATGATAAAATTTTGCATACGACCTCAAATTCCCTTCCAACCAACTCAAGAAACCCTCTTACATGTAACAACCTTTATATAAAATATATGAATGCTCACGATTGGACATAAAAGATATACGAAGAATCCATATATGAACACATTTTTCAACTCGATATTGTCACCAAATGAAATTAAAAGGAGAAAGAGGCTCAATGTAACTTTACTTTTTTCTGAATTTTTTCAAGAAAATGACCCAACATCACAATGCAACGTTGAATTGATTCTATAGAAAACTCACATTTAAAATATAAAAATCATGATTACTTCCCAACATAAAGCTCACAATCCTCTCCAAAATTCACATTTCTCTTTTCCACTGCAACTTTCCTTTCTTTCAACTGCCGTATGAAATTATGTAACTCACTTTACTTGCTTATTTGAGAGAAAATAAGATGAGACAAAGCCCTCTTCCTTTCTAATCTCAAGATAAGATGACTAACTAGATGTTTAGGGATAAAAGATATAAGCAAACAATGCATCTTCTCATCACTAACAAAAAATTTCAATCAATGAGACATTTCCAAAACATATATTGCAATTGCTATCACTAATAGAACTCATCAAATTTTCATCTCAAGCATTTTCTTTCTAGTGAAAAGGAAGACCCATGAATTCTAATCAGATTTTCTTAGATTTTCCTTTCAACACATCTTTTAAGAAATGCACTTAGTCTTCATCTAATGGTAATGAGAAATAAGCATGCATTCCAACCTAAAAGATCATACATTCAAGAATCGTTGAAAATCCAAACAATATTGATTTAAACAACGAAAGAGAATCCTTCCCTTTGCAATAAGAGAAAACAAGAGAAAGACAAATTCCCACATTTTCAATCCAGCATACTTTCTTCTCGTTCCAAAACAATAGCTCTAAACTTTCCCAGATCACTTTTTCATCATCAAGATTGCTAAAAGGAAGAGAAAGAATATGAGAATGTAGAAGATATACCTATAGCAAAAATGACCAGCGGCTAGGTCAAATCAGCGAGCGACTGCTGCTGCAGTGGAGATCGGCTGGCTTCCTTGGGGCGAAATCGACGGTAGAGAGAGAGTAGGCCGGAGAAGGGAGAGGGGCTCGGCCTGGGCTTCACGCAAGAAAACCGAGAGAGGAGAAGGGGGGCGTCCGGTCCTGGCTTCGCGAATGGGAGGATCGGGCGGGGGAATTCGACCTAGATGCGTGCGAATGGAAAAATTATTAGGCGTGCACCGTCCGCGCACAAGTAATGAATAGGTATACCAGAGGTATCGAGTGCCGCACTTAGTTGGCTATAGTGTTTGTGCGGAACATTCTTCCCGCATCGAATAAGAGGATTCCGCCTGGGTCTTGTCAAATTATTATTTTTTTTTTTTTGGACATTTAGGTCATTTAAGGCAAATTCACACACACGACGTATATACATAGACTCGAACCTTAGACCTCTTAGTTGACAGCCTTAGCTCTCAACCAATGGGCCAAGGAGAGTTGTATTGTCAAATTATTACCTCCAGACATTAATACAGAGGCTCCACGTCATTAAAATACATTCAAATTTAGGCTTCGATTAGGATAATTTTTTTATTGCTTCTTAAAATAACTTCTTAGTATAAAAATTTAAAATTTTGCACTAAAAAACTGCTTCAAAAAACAGTAAAAAAATCATCTCAAACGAAGGTGGGTGTCCGGAGGAGGCATGAGTTATGCGAACTGCAGCCAGAGAGGTTCTGTTTTGCGAATCAATCGGGAGCAGGGGGTGAGGTCTGAAACGGAACACTCACCCTTTCTCAATTCAAATCGATGATTTAGTTACAGGTTTTAAAGTTTTAGCTTTATTTTAATCAGGTTAAATGAAAGCTTATTACTCTCATTAGTTCATTAATAAAACATTAATATAATTAGAAAAAAAAAACTTAATTTTTTTAAAGTTGAATTCAAGTTTTGGTTTGAAGTTGTTTGAATTATTAAGGATTTTATTTTTTTTAGTTAAATTAAATTAATTATTTAAATTGAATTAGAGTTAAATTTTAGCTCAGATTGTTTTTTTAAGTGAATACCTCAATTGTTTATGTTGAAATAGATTTGATTATTTGATTAAGTAATGGATCTTACGAATTAATCTTCTTTTGTTAATATTTTTTTGTTTTATTATTATTTAATTATTTTGAATTTATTATTCTATTAATTATTATAAAAAAAGATTAAGTTTAATGGAATTATTTGTTAAAAGTTTTAATCCAAATTACAATGTTTGGTTAGAAATTGTTCTCCAAAAATTTGTCTAATTCATGAATTTTTGGACAAATTTTTGCAGCCTCCCGACCTCACCTCCCCAGCGCCGGGAGGAAAGGGAGTGCTCGACTCGATCAGATCAAATTGACGGCGAGGAGATTTGGTGAGCGAATTGATCCCATTAGTGTCTTCGAGTCTTCAATCCCTCGGCTGGATCAGCTCAACAGCCAAGGGCTTCGGGGGACCGAATCAACCCGGGGACTTCCTTCAATTGATGATTGTGATGCTTAATCCTTAGTTATATGTATGCACATATGTGTTGTACATATTATTTACATGTATATTATTATAATTATAATAATCTATCTCGACGTCCAGTGACCGAATGTAATAATTTGCCCAGAGGGAGGGACAGAGAAAGAAATGGGCTTCACGCTCTTGCTTTCCACATGAGGAGGCAACCAAAGAGCGTGACTTCGTTCCTGTGAAATGAAGCCGCTTGAAGAGTCGAGTTCGGACGTAGCGGAAGGGCTGGGGGCCGATCGCAGGTGAGGAAGGACCACGGGCGTGAGGATTTGCAATATTAATATCTGGACCTATCTCTGCGTCCGGTGACCAAATGTAATAATTTGCCCAGAGGAGGAACAGAGAAAGAAATGGGCTTCAGGCTCTTGTCTTCCACGTGAGGAGGCGACCAAAGAGCGTGACTTCATTCATGTGAAATGAAGCCGCATGAAGAGGCGAGTTCGAATGTAGCGGAAGGGCTGGGGGCCGATCGCAGGTGAGGAAGGACCACGGGCATGGGGATTTGCAAAGAGATCTGCCGGTGACAGTGGTTTGAAGTTGTAGCCGAACAACGAAGTCGACCTGTAGACGGAGGCGAACGGACTTGGCATTCACAAAAAGATCCATCAACGATGGTGGTTTGAAGTCATAGCCAAATTGAATAGCAGTTTCAAGTTTCAACTGACATGGATTGCCAACGTGGGAATGTGGGGGCATCATGGGGGACATCATGAAGGGCCGCCGGCCGGGATTCGCCTTAGGAGCTACGACGGGCTTGACACAGTTCGCTATCGGGCAGCAAACACTTTCGGAACGGCTGTGGAGCACGGTGGAGAGGGTTTTTTCGAAAGGTGTGTGAATTAGGAATTGGCCGATTCGCTAGGTATTAAATTGAGTTAAAACTCTTCCACCGATTAAAAGGTATGTTTTGCTCACCAGAAAAAATTGCTTTGTCCCTTTTTTTTAATATATATATTACATTTCATCATTTGCTGACAACAAATGTCATGTATTGACCTCTTGAACTATTGGAATTGCCTTTACAAGTTAATATGAATAAGCATTTTATAATGCTAAATAATCCATACGTTATCCAAATTAATATGACTTATATTTATATCATCTGAGGATTAATATGACAATCCATGCTTAAACCAATGGCAACTTAGCTTTCCATGATGATATTGAACGTTGGTTTGCATTAACTATAGCTTGGATTTTTAACTCGTCATGGCTTGAGTCTTAAGGCTATTTGCATGATTTAACCGTTATGTGTACATATATAATTGCTATAGCCATTGACAGTTGCCGTCATCGGATGGATGCATTTGTTTGCCACAGATGCTTTAGTTATTTAAACATTTTGTATTAATAGTCCCCATCTTTTGTTGTTGCTGTTGTTGTTGCCTGCAATCCCATATAAACGATTTTAGGGAAATTTCGAAAGCTTTTGAATCTATTGGTCATTATTATTTGCAGCTAAGAGGTCAATTTGATCTTTAATTCTTCTATTTCCAAAAATTATTAGAACCATGCATCGCTTTTTTTTTTTTTAATATATTGATTCAGCGATTTTATCAAATTGCAATTTTATTGAATTTCAACATTCATATTATTGTATAAATTTATTATTAACACTATTACTGATTTATTTATACAAAAAGCATGATATATTTATTGAACACATGATATATAGGATATATTGAGCATGTAATTAAGACATTGATTTAATAATTGATAGAGAATAACTTGATAGTGTACATTCATATATGATTTTACTACATTAATTTAATTTCAACAGTCCTTACTAGTATTTTGATTCGATGTTTATCTAATTTATGTACTTATTAGTATTACGAATACGATGATTGCTTTATTGATTTGATACTCGTACTGGTTTATTATTTTATTGGCTTTCATAATGTAGTGTTTTACTATTTATATATTCTACTACTATTGCATGTGAATTTTATTATTTTTACAATAATTCAATGATCATATGATGAATGCTATTATTATGATTTGATCTATGATAGTAATATTACTCCTTTATTGTAATTTGAATTCAGTTGTAGGTTTTGATAACCTGGTGGGATTTTTAGCTCATTATACATGGTTAAATGATTTTAGGTCAGTGTATATAATCAGGAGTGTGATGTTGATTAGGATTCTACAAGTTTTACTCCTTTTTATTTTAGTTATTCTTTTATACTTAGGATAGAGTAGTTATGACATGATTATATAGATCCTGAGTAGTGTATATTATTTTTGGAAATTGAATATAGTATATTGATGTCTTGATTGATAGTTTTATTTATAAGGCTATTGATATTGATAAAAGAAATTAGTTAGCTCTTATTATTATTTATTGAAAGATAAAAGAATAATTCTTTCAAATTAAATTTTGGGGCATCACAGCCTATTTGCACCCACCGCCGCAAGCAACCCATCATCGCACCCACCGCCGCAAGCAACCCGTCAAACTCCTCCAAACCTCCCGTGTCTACCTCATGATAGGCTGCTTCAATCCACCAAAATCCTCAAACCCAAAATCATTCCACATGCCGAAGACGACCATTCGACCTCTTATAGCTCACGTTCATAGAGTATATAGTATTCACCTCTTATAAACACCCAATCCGTCCGATCCTTCTTCCTTCAGTGTCAATCCCATTCTTGATTTCCTCCCACATTCAAAGCTTCTAGCTGACCTTGCTACAACTGATCGTATCCTGCCCGATTCGACCTCCATAGCCATATGATTTCTCCCTCTTAGCCAAAATCCCTTCTCATCTCTCCTTAATTGAGCCCAAAAACAACCAAACAAACCACTTACAAGACCCACTCCACTTTCAAAAAAAAAAAAAGAGACAGTAAGTTCATTTGATTTTTTTTAATCAATGTAGCATTCTTATTAACTAATGCTATTAACTATGCATACCATTATTATTGATTTGACAAAGAGGACTTCAGAAACTTTGCAAAATTATGTTATGAAGAATTTAGAGATGAGTTTAAGCCTTGGATTGCCATAAATGAAAATTTTACATTTTTCACCCATGGATATGGTGAAGGAATAATTACTCTAGGTAGATACACTCAAGGACTTCTACCCGCATAATATTATAAGCGGGTGCTCTAAATACCAAGAAAGAACCTTGGTTTGAACTTAAAAGCTAGGCTCAAGTTGAAACTTATAAACATGGAATAACTCTAATGACCCTTCTAATACAAAATACACATTCAATCTTGATATTAGTGGATCACCATATATGTTTTCCGGCATGGATCACACCAAATTTACAGAAATATTCCATGGACCAGTTTTCAATTCAGTGGTGAGCCAGAGATGGCTTCAAATAGCTACATCAGCTTTGATTGACCCTCTAATCAAGATGATATATACCATAACTGCATAGTGATTGATAGCTCCATGACGTTCAGATTGGTGTTGAACCAGTCACAGCTCCAAAGATATATCTAGTATGATTTTGTGTCTTTGTGGTTTCTTTACTAATCAGTCCCAAGGGATCAATGTAATTCCTATGCTGAATGTGATCCTTAAGGTCTCTTCAACTCAAACTACTCACCAGTTGCAGATGTGTTCAATGATTTAAACCATAAAACCCACAGAATTGTAACTTGAGATATGGATCTGTTGGTTGTGTTAGAGTCACCAAATTGGATTGTAAAAAGGATTGTAAAAAGGAGATGAATTTCTGATAATGAATGGAGTAAAACTTCCAGATATAACAACAACCATAGTTATT